GCGCGCGGCAGGGATGGGGGTCGGGGCGAAGGATATTGCGGGTGGCTGTGGTTGACGGCCTGAGGGCGTGCGATTAAGGATTCCGGTGGTGGTGGCGGTGGTGACTGTGGATAAGCCGGGGCGGAGGGCGGGCGGGACGGCGATTGTGGCGGGGACGGGGGTGGGATGCAGAGGCGGGACGGGCTTGCGGCGGATGGAGCTGGACTTGCGGACCAGCCCGCCTTCCGCACCGACACCGATATCTTGAGCTTGGTTCTTCGCCTGAATCTGGGCCGCCTGCTGCTCCTCCGCCATTCCTTGGCCCACGAATCCCGGCGAGTCAGACACATCGCTAAAATGCGAGGCTATAACCGTATTTCCATTCACGTTGTTGGCGATAGGAGAAACAGGGAACGGCGGGTTCTTCAGATTCCGATTTCCCGTTCGTGAGGCGGGGACTTGCAGGAAACTTGATGGGCCTTGTTGAGCTTGGCCTTGACTTGGAAGTTGAGAGGTAATAGGAGCAGCCTGAATAGGCAATTCCATCGACTCTACACTCGTCCGGTCCCCACCCCCAAATCGGAACCCAAACGCACTCCCCGCGCGCGAGTCAGCCTCCCGAGGGTCTTCCATGACTACGCTCAACGCCCCTTTCCCCTTCCCCGCCTTAACATTAGCATTGAGAGGGGGAACAGGCTCCGTCGGCACATCCAGCTCCAACACCGAGAACCTCATCTCGAGAACAGGGGGCGTCTGGCCATCGTATCTCACCGTGACGCGTTTCTTCGCCTGTGCTTCGGGGACAGGACGGCGCGTCGAAGCGTTGACGTTAGGCCCCGCGAGGAATTGCTCAAGTTGGTCTTTTCCGAGGGCGCCAGAGTGGGCGAGGAGGATGGCGTTGATGCGGGAGAAGGCGGAGTCGGAGCCGAGGTTGAGCGGAGCTGGGGAGGGTTTTCGTTTGTTTTGGGAGTTGGAGCGGGATTGGGATGGTAGTGGTGCGGTGGATGATGAGGCGATGGGGGCAGCGAACGGCGCATCATGTACATCCTCAAACGGCGGCATGCTCTGACTCGGTGCAGGCGCATTAAAAGAGGTATTACCCTTCGACGCGTAGAACGTCGCGGTCGTGCCAGGCGACATATGCACAAACGTCGAGGTGCGCGGGTTGGAGATCATGAGGCGGTTGACAGAGCCCGTGCGCGTGGGCTTGCGCTCGACCATGTCGGCTGCGTTCGACATGTTGAGCTTGGAGGTGATGGTGTGGAGGAGCTGGCGGGAAGAGTTCATCGTTGCGGTGGAGTTGCGGCGGGCGTTCAACTCGGGGTCGAGGCGCGTGAAGTCTTCGACTGTGTTCATTCTGCGTAGTATGAGTATTAAGAATATGTATGTAGTTGGCGGCACGCACCCCTTAATAACACCAATGATCAACGCGCCGCGTCCAAAGAACCTGATAACCCGCCTTATCACCACAACCCCAAACTCGCCCTCCGCGAACCCGATCACACTCTCAATCGCGCCTAACTTCAACCCCGCCGCGACCCACCCCAGACCTCTAAACATATGGATCTCCTCTTTCGCATGCGCGGAACTCGGGGCCGGCTCGGGCTCGGCCTTGCGCGCGTCGACAAAGGCGCGGACGCAGCGGGTGAAGGCGAGCGTGAAGACGGCGGCCTGGAAGACGGTGAGGAGGGTGACGCCGAAGAAGGAGAAGAAGGCGGCGATGTGCTGGTATGTCTTGCTGAGCCAGCGGATGCCCAGGACGAGGCGCGGCGGGGTGGACGGGAGCGTAACGAAGTTGTGTGCGATGCCGAGGAGGGAGCCTAAAGCGTTGGAGGCGATGATGAAGGGGATTAGAGCGAATAAGGTGATTTGGAGGATGCGCCGGAAGCGGGTAGGGAAGGCTTGGATGAGCGTGGAGCGGGCGAAGAGCGTGAGGAAGAGCGTGTAGGATAGGAGCGGGAGGAAGGAGGCCGCGGCGATGGTGAGGTCGATGATCGTGAAGGGTGTTATGGAGGTTGAGATGGCGGGAATCGAATGCGCGAGCACATCGAGGAGGGCGAGGGCGAAAAAGGACACGCCGTCGAGGACGAGGAGCCAGCGTTTCTGCCCGCGGAGGGAGGTGTTCGGGGTGAAGGCGAGGGTGAGCGAGAACAAGAGCTCAAGGGCGGGGGGAATAACGAGGATAAGGGATTGTATGCGGGAGAGGGACTGGCAGCGGAGGTTGGGTGCGAGGGAGAGGCAGAGCGAGTTCATTTATTGTTTTGGTTTTGGATTTTGTGTTTTGTGCATTGCCAGCCAGCTTGGACAAGGAATGGAATGCAGACCTGCTGCTGAGCTGAAGGAATGGAATGGAATCCGTGAAGACGAAGAGAGAGAATACTAGAACTGCTCGTTGCGACCACCATATTGCCATGCGAGAAGGCGCCCGTCGCGTCTTACCCGTCATTTACTTCTGATCCCTATTTTTAGCCGTTGGGTCTCCTCGGGGACACTCCTGACGACCGTCCCGGCATCATTGCCATCAGCTGCTGTGTCGAATACACATCCCATTCAACTGGCATATACACGTCAATGCTGCTACCACTTCCAGTAGCATTGCCCCTTGTGATCAATCCACCAACCCAAACGCACTGCAGCTCACACGACCCAACTACGTAGCTCATCAGAAATAATACCTCTCAAGTACATATTACACGTCGAAAGCCTAATTATAGTGAGTGAATCCGACCTCCCAACTAAAGTGACAGCCCTAATGACCTTTAATAACGCCGTACGCGTGCAATTGCAATCCACCTATCGGGTAATCCAGATTCAATTATACGCTACCAAAGCCTCGAATCCGACCACTTTTCGGCTTCTCATCTCTCTCCTCGGGTTCTATTCACTTCCTCGGGTTATTCACCTCTGGCTCTATTCCTCCCAAATTCATCCCTCCTATCGCAGTATTTCTTCCTCGAGAAACACTCAGGATCGACGAATTGATACCGACAGCCTGGTATTTACAGAGATTTGCACGGATCTGCGGCCGCCCTGATGGGTTCTGAATTTAAAGACCATTTGCAAAGGAGCTTGATGGATATGGATAGACGGGGTGAATCATAATAATTTTTTACTAATAGGAGCGTATTGACATTGCTTAACAGAGCTTTCAGAGATGGAATCAATACATGGAAGGCGTCACAAAACGTGGAACTGCACTTTCAGCGCTTTCAAATTTGGAATGAGTGCCAGTGCCTTGAGCAACGCAGGGGAGGCTGGCAGGGTAGGCTCACGACGTTTGCCACACTGTCACCCTGAAGAGACGATCTCCAGGGGCCTCGCGGTGCCACTTACTAATGAGTACTGCAGCAAGATACCTGAAGTCCCACCTATTGTGCGACTTTAGCTTCGACCGAACCTGACGCACCTTCGACTCGGGTGCAATCTTTTGAAGGGGGATTAGGAGGTATGCTCCTTGGCAGTGATGCAGTGAGTGGTTCATCGACGAGATGCGATGAGAAGGGAATGTTTGGTTGATGTAAACTCGCTGAAGGAAACCAACTTGAAGGCTCGGTCTCTATCCTTGTCAATGAGGATGGCGATGGGGATGTTAATATCATTATCGCCTCCAAACCCTCCAGAACATAGCAGTTTATTTATTTAATTTTGCCTCATCTCTTCAGTCTGTTCAAATGCTTATATATAACGCCGTCTTCTTGAACCAACTCGGACTCGACGTAAGACGCCTTGTGTGCCGGCGTGATGCACTGGCCATAGTATCAACGAGAAAGCCAGGACGGCCATGCAGGCTTGACCGCATCGGGAAACATACGAGGGGCAAACGCGGTATTCAGCGGACGAGGACAAGGACAAGGGCTATATCGGCGCTGAAAATAAAGGCAGAGCGCTCACTGGGACATCGTAATGTAAGCTCAAGTTGCAGCCAGGGCTCAACGTTCAGTGCGTACGTACGTATCTTAAGCCTGCCATATGCTGAGATGAAAGGGTATATCCCAATTGTCAGCTACTTATAATCACAGTGCTCTAATTATTCGAATTTAGCAGGGTACTTATATGACACACCGGAATAAATATAATTTAGTATATTGATTTTTCGTACCGAGGCCCTCTACCGCAGAATCCCGCCTGGCCTTCCCCCTCTGGATTCACTGGCTCATCTCAGACTCATACTCAGAGGCGGACCCGCGCCCGGGGCTGATGCCCTCACCGTTTGACAAAAAATATCTCAGGTAGTATAGTGGTTAGTATTCGCGCCTGTCAAAGTAGGAGTTCAACTCTAGATCGCGCGAGACCGGGGTTCAATTCCCCGCCTGAGAGATTTTTGGTTATTTTCTGTCTTTTGTCTTTTGGCAATTCAGGGAAAAAATAGACTGGGGGGATTGGAGTAGGTGTGTGCATGCTAATTCATGGTATCTCGTCGATCCTAAAAGAAAAAGAAAAAGAAAAAAAGCAGGCTGTGATATGAGGTTCCTTGATTTGGTCGCGCGCGGGAAACTTCACGCTATCCCAGCGAGCCACTAAATTTTGCCACTGGAAAGGTTCGCCATCCATCCGAGTCTGGTGCCCAGCTGAACTACGAACATTTATATCTTGTCGACGATGGCGACATTTTTAGGGCCCTTCGTAAAGGTTACGCCTTCAGCGACGAAAAGCTCCAGAAGAAGCCTTTACCGCCTTTGCATCCATCCATTGAACGTATCATGGAAGTCCTGGATGGGTCAGATGTGTGGAAAAAACTTTGACAGGAGGCGCAAATGTGAGTGTTCGTTTTTGTCAGAGTAGCTCGTGAGCGCGCAGTTGATGAGAAGTGAGGAAGTTTGAAGTCACTCATGATTGAGGAGAGATTCAATCAACATGGACTATTACATATGTGATAAAGCACATATCCTAAGGTTCTATGGTCATGAACTCTACTCTTTTAGGGAACTGGGAACTATTCAAACTATGATGGGATGAATTCTTTCTTGACCAACTCCGGAGCTCAGGAAATAGGATGTTATTTCGGTGAAAAAGCATCTTCAAGTTAGGTAGTATAGTGGTTAGTATTCGCGCCTGTCATAGTAGGAGTTTAGCTTTAGATCGCGCGAGACCGGGGTTCAATTCCCCGCCTGAGAGACCTTTTTGTTTATTTGTTTTATTTTTCGTATTTCATTAGTTAGAATTTAAGTAACTACGACAGCGGCCTTTGCCTTGAGCTCAGGCTGTCCCTTCTATAATTCCCTATAACTGTCGTCTTATGCGATTTGCAAGCAAGTGTGTAAACCAGCAAGTTTCAGACATTCTTTATTACGTATTATACGTTGTACTGCGTGGAAAGAAATAAATGTGGAGTCTTTTCTGGACGCGCGGGGTAATCTCCCACGCCTTACGTGATCGTCGTCAGGCGGAAACCACTCATTGTCAAACGCCACAATGTAGGAGCACACCTTTCATCGACTATTACTATTGATAACTCATCAACATATAGGCCTTCCGTAGAAACTGTTGAGCTTCAAAGCCACTTCAACGAGGACTTCTTAAGCTCGCACTTTCCTCTGCAATTTCATACGGAACAAGGATTCCCCTCTGCACAAGAGCAAGAAGAGCTTCAGCGCCTCGTTTCTACTGCGAATGACCATATGGTATCTTACCAAAAGGACATGCAACTTCTGATGACTACCATGGGCCGCCTAAAAGCTGCGCAGGCTCATGTCACGGAATACATCCTCCACCAACGGGCCATCTTCGCACCTATTCGACGAGTGCCTGACGATATCCTCATGCGAATATTCGAGGAATCAGCAGGTCCGGTTACACGATACGGTACTTTTGCCTGGACGTTAACGGCGGTCTGCAAGCGATGGCGGGCCGTCGGCTTTGCGTGCGCATCTCTGTGGTCCTGTATAGAGTTCGATGGGACGGAAGTCCGCGATTGGCAAATTGATATGATTTCTGATATTTTTGAGACAGCTTTAATACAAAGTCGAGGTGCTTTGCTCGACCTTGCCTATGATTCCCCTCGGACATACCTCGAGCGTATGGCCAGGATTCACAAAATATTTACAGCCTCCTCCCATCTTTGGAGAACTGCTTTCTTCACATTTGATGATATGGAAGACGATCTTACTTGGTTTACTAAGGCGGATATGTCAAATCTGGAGTCGCTCATGATCAGTAGCAATATTTATAGCGTCGCGTGGGGTTTTGGGTATACTCCCAAGTTGAAGAGGCTAGCACTTTATCTGAGAAAGATACAAAGATCGATTGGTCCCGATGGATACATATGGTCCCAACTTACTCACTTGGAACTAGGATTTTCCACGAATCTCCACTTATACCTCGAAATTCTGCGGGCTGCTGAGAATCTGGAATCACTGGACATCCAGAAATTATCTCTGGATGTACCCGACTCGGCCGGGCAGCCTCAAAGGGTCGACCTAGTGCCGCTCAAGCTTCCCCAGATACGAAAGCTATATGTCAGTGGTGAAGATCCGGAATTTATTAGTTACCTGGTCCTCCCCCACCTAACGGAGCTCCAACTTTGCCGTCATGGTAGTAGACTGTATACTTCGACAAGCACTCCCAATGACTTCATTTCTCTATTCAAGCGGTCCGCGTGCAATCCGCTGAAACTCACCCTTAACGCGTCGGTGGACGAATTTCTTGCGATACCTCTTTTGCAGGCGACACCGTCAATAGAAATATTGCAGATCAGTAATGCGAGATTCCCACGCCGCAATGCAATCCTGGAACAGTTGGTGATTGACGACAATCCACGACATGACGCAGTGTCGTGCATTCTTCCTAATCTACGAAGCCTATGATTGGACGATTTATATCCAACCGATTTGAAATCAGTCATGGATGTGGTTTGGTCTCGCTTGGACTATCCTGGGCGTCGACGACTCGGATGCGCATTGGAGAGCTTGATGTTCTGGTATAAGCCTAGCACATTCGAAGATGACCTGGAGTATATTGAGGATCTTCGAAATTTGCGGAATTCGGGGAGACTTCAAGTGGCCATGCAATGGATTCAACAGCCTGAATGCAGAACCCACTTTGGTATCTCTATTCCCCATTGAGTAACCCTTGCATATTTGGGTGTGTCCTAACCGGATAAAGACTAATTTATTCATTGAGCGCGTATAATGCATTTATGTAAGTCCGTTGTATATATGAACATGTTCCTATAAGCTTAAGAAACCTTTGCTGTAGAGTCTGGGCACATCTTTCACATTCTGGAATGGCAAATTGAATCTTTGTTTGATTTGTAGGGGAAACCATGTTTTCAACTTACTCCGTTAATATATATCTCTCTATCATCCTCTCGTTGCCTTATAAGTTATTGGTAATTTCGGTGTGGCTGGCAAGGGGTGTAGAGCCCATTGGCATTAATGATGTTTGTAGCCCATCTTAGGTAGTATAGTGGTTAGTATTCGCGCCTGTCAAGCAAGACTAAGGGTTTAAATCCAAAGTCAAAGCGCGCGCGAGACCGGGGTTCAATTCCCCGCCTGAGAGGTTTTTTTGACTTATTTCTGTCTTTTTGGCAATTCAGAAAAAGAAAAAGAAATTAGCGAGGAGGCTTTTGAGGTAGATAAATAGTTCATTGACGGAGTAGAGAAGGGATCTGCAAGCTTGCCACTCTACTAGTATCTGGTCGATAAAAAAAAAAGCTCTAATATCATCTCCCTCCCTCCCCCTTGTTCCCTGATCACCTCGGGAATTCGGGGAATAGAATCATATTTCGTTGAGCAAACATCTTAGGTAGTATGGTGGTTAGTATTCGCGCCTGTCAAGCTAAAAGTTTAACTCAAGGTTTAAGCGCACCCGAGACCGGGGTTCAATTCCCCGCCTGAGAGTTTTTAGTGTTCAAGATTTTTTTTTTTTAAATTCACCAATGCTTCAATCAAGATTGAAGTTGGTCTCGAATGCTATATTGAATTTATAGTTATGAGATAGGTTCCCTGGGCTACCCTAAATTGGTTGAAGTCGTTCTTCGACAGAACTTTTCTATTTAGATCCACTCACGCCATTTATGAACAGATCGTCTTTCGCTGATTATTGACCCTAGATTAGTTCTATGGTGCAGTCTGTGGCTACGGGAATAATAGTAATACCGGGCGCG